CTCTTCAGGTATATGTGTCCGCACTTGTGTTTAGTCCAGCCCGGAGCCTAATTAGGGTTCTTTTCAAAGAGGAAGAACCCGAATGGATAGCAATAAAACCAGGTATAGAAGATAAATGGAGTGCCTGCCTACAGACGCTCGAGGGCCATAGCGATTCCGTCTCGTCGGTAGCCTTCTCCCCTGACTCGGCTCGTCTGGCATCTGGGTCAGAAGACACGACAGTCAAGGTCTGGGATGCTAGCAGTGGCGAGTGCCTTCAGACACTTAAGGGCCATAGCAATTGGGTTTTCTCGGTAGCATTCTCACCCAATTCGGCTCGGCTGGCGTCTGGGTCGAAGGACAATACAGCCAAGATATGGGATACGAGCAATAATAAGTGTCTTCAGACTCTTAAGGGTCATAGCAATTGGATTAGGTCGGTAGCCTTCTCACCGGACTCGGATCGGCTGGCATCTGGGTCAGATGACAAGACAATCAAGATCTGGGATACTAGCAGTGGCGAGTGCATTCAGACGCTGAAGGGCCATAGCGATTGGGTTAGGTCAGTAGCCTTCTCACCCGACTTAGCTAGGCTGGCATCTGGGTCAAAGGACAAGACAGTCAAGATCTGGGATGCTAGTAGTGGCGAGTGCCTTCAAACGCTTAATGGCCATAGCGATTGGGTCATGTCAATAGCCTTCTCGCCCGACTTGGCTTGGCTAGCGTCTGGGTCAAATGACATGACAGTCAAGATCTGGGATACTAGTAGTGGCGAGTGCCTTCAGACGCTCAAGGGCCATAGCAATTGGGTCTTGTCAGTAGCTTTCTCACCTGATTCCGCTCGACTAGCGTCTGGGTCAGACGACAAGACAGTTAAGATCTGGGATGTTAGCAGTGGTAAATGCCTTCAGACGCTTAAGGGCCATAACAATTTAGTCGGCTCGGTGGCCTTCTCACCCAATCCGGCTTGGCTAGCGTCAGGGTCAAAGGATAAGACAGTCAAGCTCTGGGATGCTAGCAGTAGCGAGTGCCTTCAGGCGCTCAAGGGCCATAGTAATTGGGTCTTTTCGGTAGCCTTCTCACCCGACTCCGCTCGTCTGGCGTCTGGGTCAGACGATAGCACAGTCAAGATCTGGGATGCTAGTAGTGGCGAATGCCTTCAGACGCTCAAGGGCCATAGCGATTCGGTCTTGTCAGTAGCCTTCTCCCCTGACTCGTCTCGGCTGGCGTCCGGGTCAGACGACAAGACAGTCAAGATCTGGGATGCTAGTAGTGGCAAGTGCCTTCAGACGCTTAAGGGCCATAGTAATTTAGTCGGCTCGGTAGCCTTCTCACCCAACTCAGCCCGGCTGGCGTCTGGGTCTAAGGATAACACAGTTAAGATCTGGGATGCCAGCAGTGGCGAATGTCTTCAGACTCTCAAGGGTCATAGCAATTGGGTCTCCTCAGTAGCCTTCTCGCCTGACTTAGCTCGACTGGCATCCGGGTCAGACGACAGCACAGTTAAGATCTGGGATGCCAGCAGTGGCGAATGCATTCAGACCCTCAAGGGTCATAGCGATTGGGTCTCCTCAGTAGCCTTCTCACCGGACTTAGCTCGGCTGGCGTCCGGGTCAAACGACAAGACAGTCAAGATCTGGGATGCTAGTAATGGCGAGTGTCTTCAGACGCTCAGCATAGGCAAGGCACTCATTAATATATCATTCGATGCCACTGGATCGTATCTCCAAACCGAAATTGGTACCATTGTTGTTGACTTTGATCCTTCACTAGCTTCAAATATGACACCAAACAATAGAGAACCTCAAAATCCTCAATACCAGGGGAGGGCTCTAAGTTTAGATGAAGCATGGATAATATATGGTTCAGAGAACCTGGTTTGGCTACCCTCAGAGTATCGGCCGTCATGCTGGGCTGTTTCAGAGAAAACAATCGGTATTGGGGTTGGATCTGGGAAAGTATGGTTATGTAAAATAGAGCTCAACGCATTTATATAATGATAATGTCAGTAACGTAGCTCTGCACCACTGCGCTACTGCAACTAAAAGGTACGAATAATTAGCATCGCTGATTCTTGTGTGCAGAATAGTATATATCCTCCAAGAGGAAGATAGCTATCTTGCGCGGTCTTAGACTATTACAAATAATTTCTTAATCTATATTATTTTATTAGAAGATCTAGAAATTATTATAGATATTTACTTTACTAATATACTAGTTTAACATTTAAAATATATTAAGTATTTTAAATAGATTATCGTATATACTTATTTATTTCAGATATTATATAGAATATTGTTACCAACCTGGTGTACTGTTGGTACCACGACTAAGCGATCATACAGTTTTACTTGGCAGGGGAGGGTGTGTATGAGGTTATGTACGCCGAGGTTAGGTGGTTAGGCTTCAGTGAAGAGAGAGCAAAGGATTGCCGTTCTCAGAATATAGTAGCAACAAATATATTCAACGCAGGCAATAACTACACAGAGCTCAATCTAGGTAGGAGATCTATCGACTTACGTAGAAAGGTCCAAGACTGCCAAGCCCTGCTTGTCAGGTCTGTCATGTCTGTCCTGCTCGTGCTTGGCAACAGGACACTCAGGACATACCTGACACGGTCACGTGCATAGGTTGTGCCATGCCTTGTCGTCCAATCAATCGTCTCCCCAGTTCCCATAGTCCCACTGCTCACTGTCCGATTGGTGGTTCCCAACAGACGTCCATCCGTTGTAGCATACCAAGCCCTCGTCCGAGTAGGTCTCCATAGTGGCTGATGTTGGATCAAGCCCTAACCACAGAGGCGGTGCCTCTTGGCATTCTATGTTCATAACACAAAACATATTCTAATTTACAACTATACAACTATGATATATCATTTCATTAATTAATACTGTTGAATTAATAATATAATAATAGCTATAAAAAGCTTAATCTAGTAAGAAAATCTATCGACATACAAAGAATTCTCTCTAGAGCGAACGGTGTTGAGCTCAACACCTTCTCTATTGAGGAGTGAGCTGCCCCGATTCGTCTTGCCATCAATAACGCTACTTATCATCAGAATACCAAGGTGACTTACTCGAGTAAAACAGTAAGGTTTATTTTACGCAATCAATAAGAAACACTTTAGACAGGAAATATTGCACGTATGTAAGGTATTGTATGAACTTCAATTTGTGTGGCATAGCTATATTTAACTGTGTCTAGAAATCGTGTGATCGCGATCATGATTGGACGATCAGCCTAATCGTATCGTTGTCTGATCGTCTGATTGTCGGAAGCACTAAGTTCAATTAACAATGTTCTTCAATTAATTTCTATGGAGAATGTGGAAAGGATAACAAAGCCTCCAATCAGGAATAGCCGGAAATTGCAACTCCGTACCAACGCTACAAACCAGATGGCATTGCGATTCTATCCTGAGCAATATATTATCAAATGAATAGAAGAGAACAAAAGCTGGTGGTTGTCGGCTCTGAACTCTTGCCTTTGCGCACGTGCCGATAAGATAAAGCTCTCCGCTCCCCAAAACGTCATCCTCGGCAGTTCGCATTACTCTGATTTTGTCAGCTCGTTCACTGTTCCGTATTATCTTCCTTATGAGTTTATTTGCTACCACAATTAAGCGTAGTCCATTCAAAGCCCTCTTTAATCTCATTACACGAGTAAGAACAAGTCGGATGACAGCAAAGCAATGCCCTAAAGCTAACTGTGTAGCCAACCACATCCCGCGCGATGCATATCCAATCAATTCCCATGTGTATGAGTACCTGAATGGCCATGCTAAGGACTAATACTAATGCTGGGGGTAGGGGAGGGGACGGGGAATAACTATGCGTATCTAGTTTCGGATGACAAGTCCAAGGATGCTGTTATTATCGACCCCGCGAATCCGCCAGAGTACGTTTGAAAGCGTGGAATGACCTAAGAATAAACAAGAGGACTGAACGGGTTCTAGAGTACTACCGGTGCTTAAGGAGAAGACAGAAAGCGGCGCCATCAAGCTGTCAAAGATCATAAACACGCACCAGTATGCTCCAGCATGTCTTTAATTCGTGACTTTCATTGCTAATCCCACTAGCCACCATGATCATGCTGGCGGCAATAACGAGATTGTAAGTTCTCCGAGTCCTGTCTTTCATTTTCGGGGCTGATTTTTGAGCAGCTGAAACACTTCAAGCTCCCGATATTCGGCGGCAAAGACTGCGCATCCGTCTCCTCAACCCCTTCTCACAACTCGACATTTACCATCGGCGACTCAATCAAAGTAACTGCACTCCACACCCCCTGTCACACACAAGACAGCATCTGTTACTTTTTTGAAGATGGAAACGACCGCGCCGTATTCACTGGCGACACACTATTCATCGGCGGCTGTGGTCGGTTTTTCGAAGGCAATGCTAAGGAAATGCACAAGGCGTTGAACGAAGTTTTGGCGGGGCTGCCAGAGGACACAAAGGTTTACCCTGGACATGAGTATACAAAAGGGAACGTGAGGTTTGCAAAGAAGGTATTGGATAACGATGCAATCAGGAGGCTTGACGAGTATTCGCAGGCGAATAAGGAGACACAAGGGAAGTTCACAATTGGAGATGAAAAGGTAACACATCGGTCTATATGCGATTTTCGCTTGAAAACTCGAATACTAATGCAATACAGCAACATAATGTGTTCATGCGCGTTAGTGATCCAAATATCCAGCAATTGGTCGGACAGACTGAACCTGTAGAAGTTATGAGGACGTTGCGACAAATGAAAGATAGGTCCTAAAATGTTGGCTCTGGATTATTTATCACTCGAAATGTAGTCTATGTTTCTGAAGAGTTAGCCACTCCAATTTTGATTGGCTTGATGCACTGCGGGGTCAAGCGTGCGCAAGGATGCCACTAGTAACATTATTTGACTCACAGTGAAGAATTTTCTCATCGCGCAAGTAACAAATCGTCGAAAACATTTTGTATGAGGAACTTCCTTTCTTATACATAAGAGATTAATTTCGAAAGTATCGTAAAAGAGAAACAGGCCACATGGCCCAATGGCAAGGCGCTTGACTACGATTCCGTTATCAAGAGATTCCAGGTTCGACCCCTGGTGTGGTCATTTCTTTTTTCTTTTAGCTTCAATTAATTCTTTTGCTTCCCCTTCATCTCGTTCCCATTCTCTTCTAGGTTGTTTTAAGTTTTGTGAAATGGGTCAGGTGTGTAGTGTGACTGGCAGCAAACCTCATCTACAACGCCTGCCTCTATTGTATATATCACTTTCTTGCATTTCTTTCTCCTTTGAATGTTTTCTGTTCTTTATCTGGAAGAAGCCCCATTCGGTTCGTTTTGCTTAATATTGCTACTTATAACGATCATTACCGCGACCGCTCCTCTATTTATCAATACCCCACACATCTGCTTGGTTCGCCCTCCAATAGATATTGTGGATAAATGCAATTTTGCTATAGTATAAAATGTTGCTAGCCCGTCTGTGTTCCTTCGTGTTTATTCCATAAAGCTCAATCGGGGATGTCATCACCTGTCACACGATATTGCATTGACGTATAATAATCTAAGGTCTAGCAGCAATTTGGTTGGGATCCTTTGATATACACCCGTTTCTTACTTTCGCTTCGGAAGCACCAATCTGGGGGAAAGAAGCAGGCGTGATATTGAATGGCGTTGGGGAAATAGGAAGAAAATGGTGACAAGAGAGATTCACGGAACGGTTCATTCAATATATGCCACTATTCCAATGCGTAGCATTGGGAGGGATAGCTTGGGCGAGAAAATAATTGAGAATGAAGTAGCGGAAATGGCTACTAGCCTCTCTTGACTGCGCTTTCTGCATGCTGTGCAATCTGGAATGGGCTTAGCTCCTTATATATGGCGGCGGCTATCACCCGAAGATCAGAATTGCCACAAAGCATTCCGAACAAAATGTCTCCACATCACCAAAAAAACACAACTGAGGCAAACACATTGAAGGCAAAATCATCTTATTATCATATTCTCGTTACCACTATACCTTGCCTAATGGGCTTCCTATCCCATCAAAGAATACAAAATGAATAAGCAAGTCCGCAAAACTTCCAACCCGGCCCTTGGGCAACAGGTCCCAACCTCCCAACTCCATAACGCTAGGCCACCTCATGATGACCACGGAAGGATATAACGCTAAACCTATGCATATATTAACAGGTATTTATAACTTCGTGATTAGAGAGCAGTAACCATAGGCATACTGGTTCTGCTCCCTTTCCCTCTCCTTGGTGTATCGCCTGCACGCATGAGGTGCGGACTCGGTGATACGCCCTGCGGTGGACTTGCCTCTACATGTTGCGATTCGACATCATCGTCTGAGGCGAATTGTGTGGATGGTGAGCCCTCAGAGTCATATGCTGTGTTTTGGGGCACTGAGGGCCCCGTGTCGCAAGGAGCGGTTAAGCGTTGCGGCTCTGGTGGTGGTGTCGGGTATACATCGGTATTTGGTAGGCTGGATAGATCTATCGTCTCCGATATGGAAGACTGGGGATTATCATGTGCGGTTGAATCTGTCGGGGTTTCAATGTTCTCCGAAAGGACGGGGGAAGCCGGTGGTGACGGAAGTAGGTCCTCGTCATCGTCTGGAAGAGGGGTTTCAAGCGCGTCGGGGCTTACGACAAAGGATTGGGGTTTAATAGAGGCTATATCTACGGAGGGAAGAGGTACGTCTTCAAAGGCTATAGTGTGAGAATCAACTGGAGAGTCGCTTGTCGATGGTATCGTATCTGGCTGGACATTGATGCGTTCGTAGAATAACATGAAGACGCCACCTTGCTGTAGGACAGTATCTTCAGTAACCGCAGTGACGTCTTCGTCACTAAGCCGCCACCACCGTTCGCTGGCCTCCTGATTCTGAGCTTCTTCTGCCTCCTCTTCGTGATTGACAACTTGCTCTGCCATCTTAAAAGGATGCCGCCGGTAGCAGATGTAGTGACCGTTCTCGTGTCGTCCATAGTGAGTCACAACTGCCCGTAAATCATATTGAAAAGGTGAATTTTTTCTAAGGATATCCTCCTCGCCGACCGGACGCCGAAGCATCGATTTGGTAGGATCCCGAGGCCAGCTTTCTTCAACAGAATCATCAGGTAGATGTGACTGAGAAGGCTGACTACCAAGACACCAGAAGCCTAGGTCCAAAATTTTTGGAAACCTAACAGTAGCCGTATTCTTTAGTTGCGCTCCGGTATACTCATCGAAAACGCTTCGATTGACGTGCAGTACAAGCGACTTTGGAGCCCGCGCGATAACGGCCTGGCGAGACTTGGTACTCTGCACCCAGCTTTTCTTAGGAATAGAGCACTTCTTGACCAAGGTGCTATCCTCGAAATCTTCATCGTCGAGCGCATCTTGGACGATCTGTAGGCGCTCGTTGACAGTGGCCCGCAGTGATTCTGTCGCTTTCTTGTTCCCCAACATCTTGGCAAGATCCTCTTTTCTCTTCAACAAAGTACACTTGGCGCATTCTACGCCCTCGATCAATTCAAGACTTGTGTATTCGTCGAGACATTCGCGCACGTCGTATATCCAGCGACTTCCGAGCGGTACTGTGACACAGTTGAAGGGAATGAGGGACAGGCCTTCTGTATAGCCACAATTTATGCAGCCGACCCGCTGAGCTTGTAGGCCGTCAAGTGGATTCGAAATAATCTGCGGCTGCTCAGGTGGCATCTCGTTTCCACCTGCATTGGTCCTGGTCTCTTCTTCAGACTGTCCGCCTAAAGCGTCTTTCGTAACTAACTCAGCCGCAGCAACTCGGGGTAAGCCCTTTAAGGCTTTTGCGGCTAGTAACCAAGATGCCGCGGACCGCCTCTTAGTATTTGAAGCCTTTTGAACCTCCTTATCCAGCGCATCCAGCATTTTCGAATAATATTCCTGCGCATCCTGTTGCTGGAACGTGCTCATCGACTTTAGAATTCCTCGAATCCAGAAATGCTGGCCATGGTTCTCTGGATCATTGAGCTTGGTGATCATATCAAAGAGCGCTCCATTAGTCGTCTCACTGTTAAGCGCCCTGTACTCGGTGGTCATCTTGGAAAGGTACTCTCGCAACGAAGGAAGCGAAGCTAGGCCCTGGATAACGCTATTCTGATAGCAAGAGTTATCCCAGTTACCCAGACCTGGCGGCACATTATTATAGTGCTTGGACAAAGCACCCGTCACACCTCTCACACCCTTCTGCAGTAGTCCCCCGGTATTTAACCCAAAGACGCTACTTAGTATATTCCCGGCACTTCTCTGAATGTCCGCGGATTTATCGTCATCGCCGGAGACGGTATGGCGTCCTCGAAGCCTAAATGCGAGTAGGGATGGGAGTTGGAATCCACTGCGGATGAGTGGATAGTCGATTACGATTTGCATTGCCTGCGATAACCACAGCCAAACAGGGAGCCCAAAATATTCCGCGCCTCTGAAAAGTACGTAGGCACCAATTACGACGGCTAGAAGTGTTGATGCAAGTGTTGTTGAAGCATCAACAAAGAAACTCGAATAATTCCAGGCGTCGGTAGCGCGATTGCCTAAGTACGTACTCATAGTTAGGTGAAGCAGAGATTTTCTCTATTGTGCTGGCGGAGTCGTTTAAGTGACGGTGGAGGGTGGAGGCTTCGGCGGGTTGTGAGTTGAGGCTTCTTCAACCCTCTGGCCAGCGTAGAGAAGCCGGTGAGTAAAACAGCAAACACGGCGGTATCGGTCTTGTATTCGACATGGAGAGGCAGCCCCAAGGCAATGTCGCTGGGAGAGGGGGAGCGATAGGTGGCGGGCTGAGTGAATGGATGCTGCAGTTCGCGACGAGAGGGAGTCTAGGGCGCGTGAATGTCGGGGATCAGCATACGAGCTCCGCCGCCACCGGCCGCGACGCACGAAAAGGTGCCTTGGCATCAATCGTCACTCTCGCTCACCACATTCAAGCTTTACTCAATCTAGCTGCAATCACTTCGTACTATCTTGCCACTGAATAGTCGCTCGCCAAAGCAAAAGTCTCCTCCTTTCCTATACAAATTCCAAACTTTCGTCCGAATACAAACTATTATAGCCACCCTGCACAATGGCTAAAACCGCAAGATTGAAGAAACGACGTACAAAATTACCACTACCACCGTTTCCCTTCTCCATGCTGATCAGGTTCCAGAATCTGGCCCTAACTCCCGCGCCGCCCGTCGTGCAGTTTCGCCCTCCATCGATCTTGATAAGTCCATAACAGCGGGGCTGCGAGCCTCTCCCTCAAAATCTAGACCCTCTGTAAACCCCAAACCCCACGTCCTAGCCGCACAGTCATCCGGCGTCACAAAGAAGTCGAAGTCTAAACCCATGAAGCGGGCGCAGCGATTACGACAGCTCAAAGCTATGGACAAGGCGGAGAGTGCGTTAGATAAATTAGAAGTTAAGGTGCAGCAGAGTGTGGGACGGGAAAAAGTTGTCAAGGAACGGAGGAAAGGATGGGAAGAGGTGAATGCAGAGAAAAAGAAGGGGAAGAAGAATCCATTCGAGGAGCTGGAGAGAGATGAAAACAGTCTGGAGCAGGAGAGAGAATGGGTGAACCGTGAGGACATGGATGGGGCTGAGGACGCTGTGCGGCTTAAAGCTGTGGGAGAGGTTAAGGAAGTAGTGGTCCCGGCGAGTGTGCCGTTGCCGATTGCAACGGTTGAGGAGGATGAATTGCTTTGAATTTTGCGCAGTAGCCTCCAGTGTAGTTGCCCTTCTGTCGGGGCATGCCTCATCATCACTCTTCCTCTAGGAGTCATAATCAGTTGCTAGTACTAGCTGAGCATGGGAATACCTTCCTGGAGTTTTCGGGAATCAAGCAGCAATTCACATATTACAAATGGGCGATGGGGATATGGAAAGAATACCATTTGGACGAATCATGACTTCGGACGAGACCAAGTTCATTTGACAGAGAATAATTTGCTATGAACAAGGCACTCGGCGCAAGGCCCGGCTATTTATGCTATAGATATATTTTGTAGATACCCAGCAAAATTTATACCTCTGTATATACTAAGCCACGGTCCTAATCCCACACAATGCGGAATATCATTATATCCTTGAAGATTCCGCAGGATAAAATAGAACTCC